CCGAATGTCACATTAGACCATCACATTCAAGCACAAACGACAAATTTATCACGTTATCTAGCTGCGTTCTTCTCTCTCGAAAGCAATAGCGTCGAAATAGGTCAAAAGGCCAAAGCATGTGCTTTAGCTGCTGCTTGGTGCAGACACGATCATAAATTAGCAAATAATCTTCTACGTCATCGACGTTTATTCACTCTAACCGAAGTTCTCAAGGCTGTAACTATGCTAGATGCTGGTCGACAAGTCCGTGTGTATGAAAAGAAATTAAAACGTCTTGAGTTAAGCAAAACCAAGCCTAAAGTAACTAAATTAGGCAAAATTAAAAACAATATCGACAATTTGAATAAACTGAAGCCGTCATCCGGTTCAGCTAGCGGTGCTGTTGCTCGCCACATTCAGCGCTGGACACGAACATTAACTAAACAAGAACTGGAATACTTTGCATTACATATGCCAACAGAACCGTGGAAAAAACTAGCAGATATCGTGCATTTTAATCCAACTAAAGATTTTCCAGCGCTACCATGGTTCTTGCCATTCTGTTTCGGTACACCAGCACCAGCAGACACCATGGTTGCACGTTGTCGAGATTTAACAAACGAGAATGTCAACGATCTCTTGAAAGAATTTGCTATTCCATATTCGCATTTGAAACAATTCAAAGAGAAATTAACGGATGAGTCGAAAGCAAGAATTGCATCTAAGGAAGATAAACTCGATACCATTCTCTGGTATTATGAAGATCTACGATGTTCGGCAGTCGATGATATCGTTCTCGAACGATTACGTGAAGGCGAAAAGATAACTTTACCGTATGGTAAACTTATGGAGCGTCTGTTACTTTGTCGATTATTACGCGAGGGTGAATCGACAACTGGAGGACGTTATGGTCGTCGAGCCGCTCATAGTGCAACAGTTAATTCAACGCCTGCACATCCGGACTTGGCTAAATTCTATCCAGATTTAATACCAGTTGCACAAGCACAATTGGAAAAGATCAAACTACCATTAGAATCACCTGTCGCAGTCATCGGTGATGCATCAGGCTCAATGGAAGTTGCTATTCGCACAGCAACTATCCTTTCTTCGCTATTGACCGCAATTTGCTCAGCGAAATTGAATTTCTTCAATGATAAAGTGTTCCAACCAGCTTTCATTCCTAAGACACTTGAAGATGTTTTGTCACTAGCTATCGTAACACGAGCTGATGGTTCAACTGCCAACGCTGCCGGTTTGGTACCATACTACGATGCCAAAGAAGTTATCAAAACATTTGTTATGGTCACAGACGAAGAAGAAAATGCTAATGGTACCACAGCTGATGGAACATCTTCCCGATTTTTTGAATTATTCATGAAATATCGTGCAGAAGTTTACCCAGCTAAACTTGTCTTCATTTCGTTTCTATCTCATCAGCATGCTCAAGGTCAAATGTATTCGCAATTCAAAGCTGCTGATGTTCCAGATGTTCTTCAGGTAAGAATCGGATTTTTCAATGAGAAGAAAAGTTTTTATCAGTTTATTCTTTTCCTTTCTAGTTCAAATTCAACCGTGAACGTCCAGATTTGACCAAAATCGATAATCTTATCGGCTTATTGTCAACCGGCTCAACAACATCGTTCGACACTAATCTTGAGCCATTACAAGTCGAGTTCCAAGAACAAGGTATCGAAGCAGTCCTAACCAAATTGATTGGAAAACAAAGTGAAGACGGTGTTCCGATAGAAATGGGCATGGACACCACACCAGCGAACTAATTTTATTTTCTATTGTTTTGTTATTTCTCTTGTGTATACAAATAAATTCGTTGAAATAGCCTACACATATCTATTGTGGATGAATATTTACACTTATATGTTCAAAAAATACTTTAGAGATTTAGAGAATTCGCATACTAGTTGATATTGCCATCCTGTAAAACTTCTTTTTTTTTTATTATAAAACAAAGTCGAGATGCGATGTGTAAAAATAGAGGCATGATACTGTGATTTGTCCTTCACGGTTATATTCAAGTTAAAAGGAAAAGTATGGAATTAAAATTCTTCATTAAGCATATCTTTATCAATATTTGAAGATAAGAATGTTCTCCAATTTTTTATCAACAGAAGAAACATTCCTTTACTACTTTGCTTCAAAAACTTTGCACCAGGCTTTTCTGAACAAGAAAATCTATTCAGCAGGAGTAATTAAGTATGCCATTCATCTTCCATGGAAACAAGCTGTTTCTATTTTACCTTTTCTACAGAACTGATTATGGCGACTGTTATTTTTATCTTTACGTCGCTTGAATCATACATTGCAAGTCATGTTTGCTGTACCGACGGATATAGTTAAACCAACGACGAATACAATGGAATCCAATTTCTGTCTAGTCTGTAATGCTGCAGCACATGTTGTCCATTACGGTGCAATTTCATGTTACTCCTGTAAGATATTCTTTCGTCGTCATAGTCTACGAAAAAAGGTAATTTTAGTCATATGTCTTCGTCTGAATTTCAACGATATTTTTCATCGTAGAATACTCGAATGTGTCGAATAAATGGTTGCTGTGGTATTACCGAGCGAACGCGAAAGATTTGTATACCATGTCGGTTAGCGAAATGCTTCGCAGTTGGTATGTCAACTACTCTTATTCGAAAAGTATATCAACCGGCTGTTCGTCTACCTGTCGACAAATCTAAACAGAAACAAACGGTATGTATAAACGTAACAGTATAAACACATTGGTAATAACATCGCTCCTTTGCTAACGAAATTCATGCGGAAAATAAATGAATTCAATCGTGCTCGAGTACATTTATTTAGTACCTATTTAAAAGAGTTCCTTCTCTTTTTTAGAGAATAACTTCGTTAAGTTTACTTTCCAACGACCAATCAACATTGCGAACAATAGACTGGACCCTCCTATCAAATATTATTCATGCATTCGATAAATTCACTCTGGTTACGTGGATGCATCAGTTAATCACATATGCCAATAGTTCTCGACTGACAGTGAATCTTAATGTTGCCATTGATTCCGTTGCTCTTATTTCTACATTCTATACAGCCGTTGAATCATTTTTGCATGCAACGGCTGATTTTCAAATCTTGACAATTGCCGAACAGCGATCACTTTTCCAACGAAATCTTCATGGAGTATTTCTATTTTGCGCAACATCTATGTTACGCAATGCGGGAATACTTGGTAATAGTCGGAATCAAAGAATTGTCGTTCCTGTCTACGGACAGGCAGTTGTCGATCGACTAAGCAAGATATCAACTACGTTGAATTCGAATATTCCGATAGTGAAACTTATTCATATTGTTTTCGGTTTTTCAACTAATTGCTTTGCAGTTACTTATCGAAAGAATGCGGATAGAGATGCACTTCTCCACGGCAGCTTTCGTCTATTTGGAAGTCAAAATGTTTATATTACAATTCTATGGAAATACATGGTGTATCAATATGGTTTTCAAGAAAGTGTTGTCCGTTTTTCAACGCTTGTCGGCAAAATGCTCGATTTGATTAGTATATCATCGGATGTGTACAACGAAAATGCTTATCATCAAATACTTGTGGATGATCTAGTAGAAAACGCACAAGCGGCACTTATTGCGAACAGAAATGAATCTATTTGGTTGTGGGGCCGAAAGAAAGACTCAGTTGTGAATTGAAATGTATTGTTAAATTGTTCGAATAGGAATCGATAAACGGTACATCTACAGGCAAATATTGTTCTATGATTATTCGAATGGCTTCATAATGACGAATATTTTGATTAAGTTAAACTCTCTGTCTCTCTCATATGCAAATGAATTCCATATTGCTCAGATGAATGTGAAATGAAAATCTTTGAAGTGCGTTCGACAATGAAATCAGTTTGATTAGTGATAGGCTTTGTCCACAGACAGAAAGAGATACTTGAATTTGAGGACAAATATTGATTAGTCTGTTTGATTTTGGCAACTCTGTTAGATGAATCATACGTCGGTCGATGCTCTCTATTACGCATAAAGTGATGGAAATATGTCGGCACGTTTCTTCTGCAGAATTCGGAAAGAAAAACTATTCAAGCTAGACATTCTTCCTTATCGATTCGGACATGTTGGAACTTAATCATTGAAAAAAAAGAAAAACGTGATGATGATGATGACATAGTAGTATTATTCTGTAAGAGGGATTAAATGGAGATAGATAGTGTTTGACTTCCTACGCATAAATGAGCCAATCTAAATGTATAATCAATTGTTCATTCATTTATTCTAGTGTAGTTTAAACAAATACATCACTATCTCTAAATCCTTCTCTATTCTTAGTTGAACATTACGATGTGGGTGTTGAATGTAAGGGCTTCACACTATCTTCATTCATATGTACAATATGTAATCATGAGTACGTATACGCATATGCGTAAGCAAAGAGATTGGGTTTGCTTGATTAAGATAAGCTTGATTGCTTGAGATGAGGACAGGTGTAAGACATGGGGTTGACCTCCATCTATTCCTTAAGACAAGGGTATACCACTTCTAATTTTCTTGTCATACGATTCGCATATACGTGTGAGTTGACCCATTGAGGCAAGGAGAAGAAGAAGAAGAAGAAGAAGAAAAAAGAAAGAACAAATGAACAAGGTTGTATCGTACAACACTTGAGACGCTTGTTGAAATGCCTGATTGTTCCTCGTTTTGTTTCAAAAACGTTTCAATCCGAGCAGGTAAGTGAGCACAATTTTGCAACAGAAATAGACTTCGTGTTAATCGAGAATTGAATAACCTATTTGTTCCGTACGCATTCATTGACATGTCTAATTTAATTCTTTGCATTTCAATGTGAAATGGATATTCCTATTCTCTCGTGTCAATTGATTAAAAGTCAGACGAGCGAGAGAGAGAGAGAGAGAAAGTGGCAAGAGCGCATAGTCTGTACGCAAGTATATTCATAGTGAGAAAAAGTCAAGTAGACAATGTTTGAAAGTAAATGAGTTTGTTTTAGATTGTGTCTGTCAACTGGTACATTAATGAAAATGAAACATATTCTATGGATTTCATTTTTAATCGTTACTCAAATTCAAAATTCAGATGGTGAGAAGAAAACATTCATTTCAACATTCGTTGATTCTTCCTGTTTAGGCGGATGTCCACGAGCAACGTTTGAGTTTTCTAATTACACTAAGAAAGCAACGTATAACTTTATCGACTCATCTGTGGGAAATATTGGCTCATTAGAAACATGTCCATGTAACTACTTTCAAATGAAGATACTTTCATTTTGATATATACAATTTTAGATACGGGTCGTCCATATGTTTACCTTCCATGTTATCCGAATTCCTCGTGGGGTAATGAACCATATTTTAGTGGTTGTTCGAAACCACTGGATAAGACAGAGCAGAGCACACCATCGATGATTCTCTCATCAATATTACCGATTGATAATCCATATTCAAGTATGTCAGTTGATGAAATCTCAAAAGTATGTGTTTGATTTGCATAAGGAAGCGTTTTGATGAACCAATATTTGTTTTAGTTATCTATGGAGAGTTCAAACGATGTTTCGAATGTATTATCATATTTAAATCGAGATACTATAACATTTCAAACATCAGCCGATGTCGCCTCGGTTGTCAACATCATCGATCACGTGACAACAGCTGAACAAAATACAACAGATGAGGTCCATTCGGTAGTTTATTCGGTTGCGAATAAAATTTTGTCGTCAAAATCGATCGAACAAGCTCAAAAAACGAATCGAAGTGTCGTGAAGTAAGATTTGCAACTTCATCCAAGCAGTTTTCATTAATATTCTCCATAGATTGCTATCCTCATTAGAAACATTCTCTCAAAATATGAAGTCGAATCAATTCGATGCGACTTATGTGCAAGATAATCTCGCTGTTTCGATTGTCAACATGCCAAATAATCGTACAAAGCCAATCATTGGTTTTGAATTCGGTTTGTCTGAAGATAGGAATATGAACTATTTTCTAATTTTCATTCAATTAGATGCTCAAACCAATCGAATGTCACCGATTGATTCAGCTGATACAAAACTGAATTCTACCACGATAATTCTCGATTCACAAACAGCGTCTCAACAGAATCGTTTGGCATTCTCGGTTTTCAATCCACGAAATAGTTTATTCGATGATCAAACATATCATGTCTTAACACGAGTGATTTCGTTAACAATTGACAAACCTGAATTGATCAAATCTTCAACGAACTTCGTGAAGATGAATTTTCACATTGAACGCGATGATCTAACAGCAATCAACGGAAATTTAACGTGTGCCTATTGGCATATATTTGATAATAACATGACAGCACAATGGTCAACAACTGGTTGTCGTTTAATTGACATTCAGAATCATAATGTCATGTGCGAATGCAACCATTTAACTCACTTTGCGGTTCTATTAGTATGTCATTGTTTTATTCTTGAGATTTGAAAAATATTCGTTTGTCGTTCAAGGATATTCAACAAACACCAGTATCGAAAGAAGTTGAGCAATTACTTTCGATCATCACATTAGGCGGTTTACTCTTATCATCCGTTGGTTTATGTTTAACTATTTTAACATTTGTTCTTTTTAAGTATGAGACCGTTTTTTTAGTCAGCTTGCTTCGAACAACATTCTATTTTGTACAGGAAACTGCGTCGTCATTTTAGTCAAAAATCTCTTCTTCTTTTATCGATCAATCTTCTGCTAGTTAACATCTTATTCTCGGTAACAATACTACGTCAATTAGAAGATCTCTTGTGCATCATCATCGCCAGTTTGTTGCACTATTTTGTGTTGTCATCGTTCAGTTGGATGTTTATTTTGGCTTTGATTCAATATCTTCTATTTGTAAAAGTTTTTCCACGTTCGATATCAGCATTCACAAGAAAAGCAGCAGTTTTCGCTCAATGTAAGTCTTGCATTATGAATCAACTTTAAATATAAATCTCCTGCTTTTGTTCTAGTTGTTCCAGCGATTCCTGTCATTGTTGTGTTATCGCTCGATCCATGGAATTATCATAGACGAAAAGATAATGTGTAAGTCTATTCTCTCTACAAGACCAAACTCTCGATTTGCTTTGTTTAGCTGTTGGTTGTCGTATATGCCACTCTATTTATCGTTCATTTTACCAGTGGGGTTGTACATTTTTATTAATAGTATCTTATTTTGTATCGTAGCCCGTTCGCTTCTCTGCGGCAAAACAGGCCAACAGTTACGCAGTACACAAGTAGCTGAATCGCAACGTTTATCACGATTCTTTGTTGCTTTAAGTTGTTTCGTTGTTCTTGGTCTTACATGGATCTTTGGCTTTTTTGTTATCGGTCCAGTTCGATTACTGTTTCAAATTCTCTTTTGTACATTCGCGACATTAACAGGCTTTCTTATCTTTATTCTTTATATTGTCACGTCAAAAGCAAAACGAACTTGTTGGAGTAGTAAGTCGACATCTTTTTCATATTTTTCTTTACAAATAGTTTAAAACTTCTATAGACGCTTTGAAATCAGCTGGTATTCCATCGATCTATTCTCCAACTTTATCATCATCATCTGCTTTAGCTGCTAATAAAGAATTTTCTACCTCATCGACAACGGATCAAACAAAAGTACCATCACGTCTTCTTCAATTCTCGTCTCAACCTCAGCACTTCATCGATGCTTACATGCCATCATCACCGCCAGCACCCGCACCACCTTTACCGTTGCCACCACCGTTTCTAATCGAAGGTGATGATCCATTGAATGCAACAACGCTAGCTAATAGTTTCTACGAGCCCAATCACATTTGGATACCACAAGCGAACTATAATCGAGAAATCAATCAGCCAACAACGTTATTGGATGATTATTCACTTTTCTATGCCTCAAATCACGATGCTACAAAACTCTAAAATGATACCTTTTGTTTTTGGCCGTTCTTTTTCTTAAATTTACAGTCAGATGCATGTATACTCAAGAATCCGGTTGTCTATAGTTTACAGAAATGATTTTTCTCTTGTATACTATGAATATGATACTCGAGAGAAGACTACCTTAGAAGAAAATGAAGAAATATAAGCGTGATCTTCTTATGATTTACAAGAACTCTTCTCTTAATTGATAGTACAGAACTTTTGTTTGTAATCATTCTTGTGCAATTTGCTGAATGAAATTCAGCTACCGGAAGGCTGATCACTCATTTTTCAAGCATTGTGTTGAATTTATAAGCAATTTTCTTGCTGCATTTATCCAAGCCTGTGAAGATACAAAAGTCATGGTGACATTCCGACCTTTGTTAGATAAGACTAATTAATATCTGCTATTCATCCGTATGGTTTTTTCAGTATATCAAGCGCTAATTAAATAGTCCTCCACATCTTTAGTATTCGCAACAGAATAACGATCTAAGGTTCTTCGTACTTCAGTTGTAAAGGTTTACCTGTTAGGGTCATTTGCTTTTTAAGACCAACTTGTCATTACTGTCTATATAATCAAAAAGAACGAGCATTCAGGCAACTCTTCTTCGTCTTCTTATTATTAAGAAGATAAAAATTTGGTAATTTATAAGTTTAAAGCTAAAGACAATAACCTATTTTATCACTGACTTTTCTTCTGTGGAATAAAATATGACTTCTACGAATAGCAACGTGACAGAATTTATTACCTCGTATGAAACTGCATTCACAAGGAATATCAAACTTGGATTTTTTATTGCTGTCACCCCATTTGCAATCATCTGCGATATTATTCTTATCTACTATCTCGTCTTTGATCGAATGATACGAAATATACTTCATTATCACAGCATTTTAGCCTTACTTCTCGTCTGTCTTGCATTAGAGACTATTGAAGTACCACGTATCATGCATTATTTGCGCATTGGTATTGTTACACTACAAACAGATCTTCATTGTCTTCTCTGGCAATGGCTTGATTATATACTAGGCGGTCTAATCAATGTATATATGCTTTGGTTTTCATTAGAACGTCATCTATTTATATTCTATTCATCTATGTTCAATACTTTCAAACGTCGTCTAGTATTTCATTATTTCCCATTGATCATAATTTTTGTCTGCGTTAGTCTCTACTATAGTATCGCATTCTTCATTTATCCATGTGAACCACAATATGATTTCACACAACCGCTGTGTGGTCTACCTTGTTACACTTTTCAAGCGAGCATCTCACTTTATGATCTATTTGCTCATAATTGGATACCATTACTTTGTACACCTTTGCTTGATAGTGCATTGATTGTTAGAGTAGCCTGTCGGCGAAATATTGGTCAGCAAACGCGATGGCAAAAACATCGAAAAATGATCGTACAAGTCTTAGTCATTTCCAACCTTTTCGTCATTATTCAGACTCCTTATGTTCTTATTGCATTTATTCAAATACTCGGAAACGTACCAGACTTTGCTCTCTACATTCAAGTCGTCTATTTCTATTATTGTCTTTGGCTATTCGCACTTGTCCTACCATTTGCTTGTCTAAGTTGCTTACCAGAAGTGAAAAACAAAATACGAATGGATTTCATGCGATGTATTGAACGAAACAATGGAATCGTACCTTTTCCTTTATCTCAAACCCGTCTTAGAACTTGCTGAGAGACATTAGAATTTGTCTTTCGCAAGCAAAAGAACAGTGGATGCGTACACAATCCTCAAATAAGTTTGAGTAAAAATCAAAAAACAAAATTTTATTTGAAATTCTTTTTCGTCTTGTCACAAACATCGGTAAATAACAATTGTCGCCGCTGTTAAAAACATAAAAACAATAAAAAGGAAACTGTACATTAAGAATGCTCTATGTCGTCGTTTCGATCGAGAACGAAACGAAAGTTCTATTTCATCACTGTATATAAATATTGTTATTTTTGCTGCTGCTGCTGTTTAAGATTGATAACAGGTTGACTATTCTTGCGATATTTATGTAAAGATGGGGTTGGAGGTATCAAATCACTCCCACGTCTCAACGATGAATTCAGACTTGGTCGTAATTTTTCGGTTGACGCACGTATCGCTTCTAATTTCTTCATTCGCAATTCATAAGACTTGTTTTCTTTGTATTCAAGTGTACTCAAACGTGGCGTAGAGCTCTTCGCACTTCGTAGCGATGATACACTGGAATTGTCATCGCCAATGGAATGCAAACGTTCCCGATGGAAATCTTGTTCGTCAAATCCAGAATCACGGTCAAGTTTAGAATTATCAAGTAGATCCGATGATTGGGACCGTTGTGCGACTACCATTGGTTTCCGTTGTGGTTTAGTAACTTGCTCCTCTTTTTTCACAGCATCAGCGATATTGGACATCGTATTTGAACGAGAAGAATATCGGTTATAAGCTGATCGCGGACGGTTCAATGTTTGTTTTTGCGCCGAAGAAGCTGTTGATGAAGTAGCAGTCGATTTTCGTGTAGTCGATATTATCCGTGCTGGTTTTGACACTGGTTTCTTTTCCTCGAGAACACCTTCGCTACTCTCCAAACTGTCATTATCCATATCGATTTCGTCCTTTTCATTCGTCGACTTCTTCTTCACAGACATGATATCATCAATATCTTGTGCATCGAAGTCGCCTGTTGATGTCAAAGTTGTGGAATAAACATCACCATCGATGTTACCAATGATAGATTCTGTAAATCGAGATGTTTGTTCGTTGAAATGATTGAGTGGTTGTGTATGAGATTTAGCGATAGGTGAATAATATCGAGGAGGTTGTCTTTCGGCTGAAGTTATATGTAAAGATTTGATGGAATGGTCAAAAGAGTCATCTTTCGAATCCAATGATGACGAAGAAGATGGTTTACTGGGTGTTGTTTCAGTATACGATGAATAATCTTGATCTGTGCTTGGCGATGATTGTTTACTATACATAGACGAAGGGGTTAGACGATCTATATTGCGAGTATTCCGTATTTTTGGAGTTGGTGACGATCGATACTGATGTGTATGGTGATGAGGGCATGCTGAAGGTTGATTCAGAATGTCTTCTTCACTTCGATAGGTTATTTGCCCAATACGATGACGTCCATCGGCTCCCCGAGTGATGACAAGTTGAGCATCAGCTAGATTTGTGTCGTGCTGAGACGGTTTCGGTAATGGAAATTCTTCGGTTTTGATTGTCACAGATTTACCGAAAGGATTCGTTTTTTGTGTGCTAGGCGCAATGTTTGTGTTTGGCACAGCTAGAATTGGAATATCGGAATGGTTATGGGATTGGTGATGTTCCGAACGACGGTGAGCTTTGGAAAAGAAGGGAAAATGTTAGATGAGCGAGAATTGATACATTTCAGCACACTTACCACTTGATCGTCGGCATGGATCATGTTTATTCAAGTAATTTTCCAGCGTATCCCAACCACCGCCGACACGTACCATAACATGATTTCTCAGAATCTTAAAATTATTGCAAAAGAAATAAGTTTTAGATCGAAAATTGAGCCTTTTGACTTGAGAGAACATACTCGAATGAATATAATTGTACCATTTTCACCGATGCGATATTTGCCTTCACCAATACGGATAACTGGAAAGCGTTGTGAACAACAACATGAATTAGCAATCTGTACAACCTACAATAACATAATCTCCTCATGCAACCTGATCGTTTCTCCGCGTTTGCTTCTCTTACTGTTTTATGTAAATGTGAAGAACATGCCGGTGACTCGACAGGATGCTTTCGTTCACTTGTTAATGTCTGGTCCACTGGTGAATTATCGTCTGCCATCACCATTGTCGTGGTTATTTCATTAGATGTGACACTGTCAAATGTTTCTTCATTAGTTTGTTTGTGTTTACTATTCGTCTTATCAGCTTCATCGTTCGAAACTATGGACACATGAGTTAATCGATCTTTTAACCAATTAGCATTGGTTGAGTTTGATAACGAGAATGTATTAGAAGAGCCGTCATCTTCATTGCCGTCGACATCGTCACGATCAGAAATCACTTCATGATTCGTTGTATCAGTTTGAGTCTGATGAAGTTCGTCTGTTTGTTTATGGTTTTCTTCACGCTGTGAACGCAACAATGCTATTGCAGATATGTACTCCGTTTGTTCTTTATCACGTGCTATTTCTTGTTCAATTTCATCTTCTAGTTTGATGATAGCTGGGACGCTAACACCAAATTTGGCGCCGAAACGAGCAATTTCAAGTAAACATAGGAGGAAGTTCTTTTCGTTTTTACGCAAAATTAAATCATCCGATTCAAACATAAGCACTTCACGAACGCCGGCGACACGTCGTGCCCATTTGATAAATTGCGAGACATTATCACGAGCAGTGAACGTTTGAGGACGAGCATCCACACGATATTTACAATTTGTTAAGGTCGATGTCGATGGCGACATTTTACGTGCTGCTTCGTTGACATTGTTCGCATGATGACAAAGAAGAGCACCATTTTCTAAAAACGACACTAAGTATATTCGAAACAGAAGTGATCATAACTACCTAGACATTCAAGAAAGTTATCCGCAGTCATTAGCGTCCAGTTTGGATACATATTTGACAGCCAATCAGCGAGATCTTCTTTCATTGCATATAGATATTCATCAGTAGTTGAATACGGTTGAACAGATTTCATTTCGAGAAAACGTGATTGAGGATCAATCACTAATTGTTCGACAGCCGAAGCCATCGTTGATTTATCTATCACTAAAAATCAAAATGTTCAAATAATATTTTGACAAACAGTCATCTACTCACACTGTCTCATGTCCTTCTCACTTTTCCTATCATTGTGATCTAGTTGGAACGAAATACGTTCACTCTTTTCTTTTTCTTCCTCTCATTCTTTTGTACTGGTGAATGCATATATGAGCGACTGACTTTTTTTTTTAAATAGCACCCTTTCGGTCATTGTGTTTCGTCCTCGTCTTGCCCTTTCTCTCGTTGAGTTAAATTTTATTTCACTCTTTCTCTCTATCTTCATTCAACCTACGTTGGCCTCACATTGAAATTAACGTAGATTAGAGTATCTCTTTTCTTTTCATCTAATGGACAGAAGGTGTAATGTAAATCTCGGGATCAATTCGAAATCTAACATGTGAAAAGAGCGTTTTTCGTACTACATTACATCTATTGTATCAAACAATCAAATAAATAAACTATTCATTGATCCACACGAAGAAATTCAATGTCCTCCATGCTTGCAATCGAAATTCTCGTCAAGCATAACTCAGCACTTATGCTAAATGTAATTGCTCATTTAATATGTGAACTTTATATTCACATTCACACAAATCATCGTGAAAAGTGTAACAAACACTTCAATATTCAATCGGGAGATTCTTCTCGACACAAAAAAAAATGAATACGTCGACATCATACAACATACGAAGACACAGGTCAGAGACGAAGAGAAATGCCAATGAAAATTGGACACATATGTGCTCAAGAAGAAATGTCTGTCTGCAAAAAAACAACAACACATACGAAGTTATTTACTTAAAAGATACGTCGGACAGATTTCTCTAATAAACTTTCTTTCTTTCTTATCGTTTATCAATGATACGGCAAAAATCAAGTGGTCTAGATGTTTAATCTCTTGAGATTTCGTAAAAGGAAATATGTTAAATACAACTCTCATCGATGTCTTTATTACCTGACTTGTCAATAGACAAACGATCAAAGGATATTTATGTACATCCGTCCCGTTGTCCGCTCGTTGAATTCTCGGTTCGCTAAATGTCAACCGATCGCCTGCTCGTACATATTCAACGAACTATCGCACATATTTTCCGCGTTACATGTCAAGGGCCTTTACTAAAAAAAAAATCGAACACTACCGTAAACAGATTCGTTTTCCTCCAAAATAAACGATACGATCGTAATTCGCATAGAAATATATAGATGATTAACTGATAAACTCAAATCGACGAAGAAAAACAACACTGATTCAGTAGTTTATGTGTAGTTGTGTTTTTTGAAAAAAAAATATTTTCCTTCCTTCTATTACGTCGTCTTCCATGACTCATCTCCTCTATTTTTAACGGTATGATTCTTACCTGTGATTTTTTTTTTCTGTCGATGAAAGTATGCAGTGGAGGTTGATATGAATTATTCTATTTACGATCGACGGAAAGAAAAGCGCACATAGTTAACAGTCCGGCTCATATGTATTTATTCACCTTCGCTTAAGACAAGCGATTTGACAAAAACACCTACTAAAATGACAGCGACAAAATGCGTATGCGTGCAATATTTGCATGACGGTAAGAACGGAAGAGAGAGAGAGAGTGAAATCGAGAAGAATGGGATAAAGAGAAAGAGAAGTAAAACATGAGTAAAAAAAATTGAAAAAAAATCGAATAAAATGAGAAGTGTCCAATGATGTAACACACCTGTTTGATTGGTACTGGTGGAATGTCTGCTGAGTGGGAGGAACGGAAAAATCAAGGTCAAGACAATCGATAAGAATTCATTCGATTCGCTTCATACGACGCAGTCAAAGGTCAACATGTCTGGACAAAAGTAAAAGAAACTAATGACCGGTATGATAAAAAAAAATATCACTATATCTCGATGTTGATCGAATCTGTTTCCTTTCTTCCTTGTGAAAGTTGATTTTAATCACGAATAGAGCTTATTCTCGAGTGAGACATTTGCCTTGAACACGAAGGTTTTTTTAATGATTTTAAATATTCAATTGACATTATAAAACACATGCTATTGATTTTCTCCTATGACAATCGAGATAATGCAAATGAATTCTCTTCTTTCTCTAGTGTACCTATATCCCACGATCAAACATTGAATGTTACGAATAAAAAATTGCTTTACAATTCTTTTTCAACATATCTGACCTCGATCGAAACGAAAATTATATAATCAACTAGATCAACTCAAGTGTATTTCAACTTGAATATCGTTTCTTCTATCTATTTATTCATTCGACTGACTTGTTTCAATCCTATAAGAGATTGTTATGACATACGACCGGTTCTTACTTTGCTTCTCTTTTCATACTCTATTACCAAACAGGACAACAGTACTGTTCTGTTCATTTTCAAATGGATCAAGATATATTGCAATAAAAGTTTGAATGTAACATTTATTTGTTTAGTTATGACGTAAGAGAGTGCTAATACAGCAATTATGTTCTTCTTTGACCAGTTCAGTTGATGTTTGGATAATATCAGATTGAATTTTATGAGCTTTTTATCATTGATAAGACTTCCGTAAGTGATCTGTGTGCAACGTTTAAAAGATCAGATTAAATTAAATTGGATTTAGTCCTACGTGAGTTGAATATCATTTCTATCCTTCGAATCGATAAATTGAAGCAACAAAAATGAAGATAGACGAGACATTCATATATCAATGAATTGGGTAGTAATTTAATTAAAACATGAAAGAGAATAGAACGTCTACCTCAATTACATTTGCTCATTGAATGTGATCGAACTTGGCAACTTAGGTTTCGAATCCATCTATATTTACACGAATGTTTCATTAGCAAAAGAAAAACGAAGTTTGTATTATTCATAAACACACAAAAAATAATCTCTGGAAATGATTGATACAATGACAAAGAGAGAAAGGAGCAAAACGTACGGAACATCGAAGTTGAGAACTGAAAGGACAAGTACATTTTTCATAAAAATGACCATAGAAAACAGACAAACACAAAATATATCTAAACAGTTGCTTCTTCACTTATATGAATCCCAGCTGTTTGCGGCGTACAAATATGTCGTTGGCTAGACGATATGCGTTGCCAAATATGTGACTAAAATACACAAGTACACGATAATTTTCACACGTAAGTCATAAATACATACGGGATAGGATTTTTCGCGCAGTTGCTGTCGGTAAGCTAAATAAAGCGCAAATATAAACTAAACCTAAACAATAATGACAGAAAACTTACCATCTTGATCATCGCTATCGTACGGCACACGGGTTGTTTCGACGGAAGACATACTATCCTTTAAAAATTCAACAATTTTCTTTATGAGAAATGTAGGAAAGAAGAAACGTTTCTTACTAATCCTTCGTCCGATTCGTCACCATAGTAAACCTGAGTGGGAAGTGAAGAATTGTGTTGAATTGTTGAATTACTCATATCAGCACTATCATTCAAACTATCGTCGCTTGGACCATTAGCATGTCTACAAAAACAATAACAACATTCAACATTTCTCAATAGACTGGAGTTGACTTACTGATGCATTGAACTATTTTCACGTGTTGATTCTTGTCTAGAAAGATGAACCATCGATACTTTTGTTGTTGTCGTAGAGCTTTCATTTAACTTACTCAGATGATGAATTGGCGAGTGATAGACGTGGATGGGCATCCACACTGTCCATAGATTTCCCTAATCGAATTAATTTCTTGCTAGCTTTCGTTTTCTTCTCACTAGACTTCAATGATTGACGAGGGCTATCGGATATGCTACTACTGCGACTAAAAATTTTCTTCATAGAGAATAAATAGCGTTTGCGTGCAGAATTCGATAATAGAGATAGACGATGATGACCAACACGTTTCTGTTCGTCGCAGAGAACTTCATAGGACTTTTCGGACAGATTTTCACACAAAGTTTTCAAGTAAGAACAGCGTGTGCGTTGTTGTAATAATGCGAATGTTCGACAACGATAAGCAGCATATTCCGCATTGATCAACTTCGAAAGAATGAATGGTTTCAAATGTTCGGCGGTACGAACATAGACAACATTTGGATGAAGAATTGGAGAAAATTCTTGAATATTATCACGAGCGATCAGCATCATCTAAATTGTTTCAATATCAAATATTATTCACCGTATGTTCATTCGTAACGTTCCTCGACAAGCTCTTCCGTTTATACTCGATATCCTGGGTGAAGTGTTTTGTCCTTGTCTCATCCATACGCACTTAGTCAAGAGAAAACAAACGAATCAAGGTTGATCAAGGCTACGGTCATTGTATATCCTTAACTGAAAAGCGCAAAGGCCAACAATAATATAAACAATATACCGATCCTGTCGAAATAAGTTATTCAATTTAATACTATGTTGCAAAGAAAACGATCAATTTCAGTCAAAGTCGTTCTATTTATCATATCAATACAACTGTCGATCTAATGGATTCAATATTACTCAAGGTTCGTTTCATGTCAACATTGATTTTACGCGTCTGAGTCAAACAACCGTGTGCCAGACAACTTACTTTGTAACATGTTCGAGAGAGGATTTGAACAGGTTGAATAACAAGGAATATATGGAGAAAGTTCGATTTGATCATGCTGGGATGAAATGGAGTGTTTTCTTCTTGAAAAACAATCGCAACAATGTCGTTTCCAATATGACGTTTACGTTGAATCTGTGATACATCATTGGGTGTGAAGGGCAGTAAGGTACTAACATGAAACATGATTTCTTTATCATCATAACATTCGTAGTAAGAGATTGGAGAATCCGTATCTTCACTTGTATCCAAACCACCGCGATAGCTAAGAGAAAAAGGTCAAGTTTGAAGAGAAAAACGAAGAATTGAATACCCTTTAAAGTTTTTCAATGATACTCTTGTTGCAATGATATCAAGGAATTCATCGAATGTTCGGCTATGTCGTTCATTATTGAAAAATTCTTCCTCTGTTGTCTAAATTTAAATCAGAGGCTCGTGATCATAAGTCAATCGATCACAAGGAACATTTTACTTGTCCTCTTCGTTGATAAATAATTCCAAATTTGAACTTTTGTGTTTCTAATTTCTCATCATATTCTTTAA